CCAGCCGCCCCCCGCCGCCCCGCCCGGTTCGGTGTGAGCCCGCGGGGCTGAATGCAGCCTGCTCCTGCGCCCGGCCTCGGCCTCTGAACTTCGGTAAGTGCAAAACCCGGAGCGTGGGGATGTGGGGGCTAGGGTGGGAAGAGGCGAAGGAACCTGCCTGCAGTGCAAGCTCTGCCTGGATGCAACTGGCCCCCCATCACTTAGGGACACGCTCCAGCTCTCGGGGAAGGGGCTGGGACGTTTGTATTCACTGGCGGAGCGTGTACTTTGGCAATGAAATCATTTAACTGCAAGGTTTCCCTATAGATTCTGGTCATTTAACTGCAAAGTTTCCCTTTAACTGCAAAGTTTCCCTTTAACTGCAAAGTTTCCCTTTAACTGCAAAGTTTTCCTATAGATTCCGGTCATTTAACTGCAAAGTTTCCCTATAGATTCAGTCAAAGTCATTTAACTGCAAACTTTCCCTATACATTCAGTTAAAGCCTTACATACACAACAGAGAAAAAATCAGAAAAACTGGTCGGTCCTTGGCAGCCCCTGCTGCGCTTAACCTACCGGAATGAGGATCCTTGGAAATTAGCTCTAGTTTTTTCCAGGTTGATCCTGCATTCGTTGGGTGAGCAATATCCCCTTGACGTTTTGAATGTTCAAAGAATGCAGGTCTCAGAGGGGTAGCCCTGTTAACTCTGTAACTTTTTAAAAACAAGGAGTAGTCTTGTGGCAGCTTAGAGAGTAACACAAATATATATATAGTATCATGAGCTTGGTTGGGGCTCTACGTTGTCAGTCTCCCCAAAACAGAAGGATGCAGGCCGGGATCTATAGATAGATGAAAGAGACAGCTGAGACTAATGCAGAGAGCCATGTGTGGCTACAAAATTGTATCTACAGTGATCAGTATCTACAGATCGGTATGTACAGTGATCTGCGGACCTGTGGCTATAAAGCAGGTGGCCGCAGGACTGCAGGGTTCTAGATACACACGGGGCTGCAGTTAGTGTGGCTACTTGTGAGTATAAAGGGTCTGTCCAGAGATTTGCAGCGCTCTAGTGATGCGCATGGCTCAGAGACATCAACATCCAGCAGCTGGCAATGTGCAACAAGGCAGAGAGGCGTGTGGGTGTTTCTGCGGTGACTGAAGCGACATCCCTAGAGCCCTGAAGAGGGAGTGTCGCAAGGGGAGCCTGCATGCCGCTGAGCTGTGCGGCGTGCCCTGTGGCCCCGCAGTGTGGTGTGAGCCATGTGGC